GTCAGTCAGACATGGAGTACTTTTTAGTTCTGATATTTATCTGAAGGAGAATACCCTCGTTCAGGCTTTAGGGCCAAATGTGGCAGGCTGGACGCGCGTGTGGGTGTGGCGGGCGAGAAATCGTGCTGTTTATATCTTGAAACTAATAGGGCCAATGGCCGTCATTTAGGTGGCCGTTGGAGTACAGAGGTGGATTCTGCACCAGACGTCAGGAAACGGCGAGAACTCTGCTTGCTGTTGCTGGTCAAAAAAGAAAAACACACAGCTTTGTGAAAAAAAAAATTAGCTTCTGCGGCGTCCGGCCGGGCTTCCTTTCCCCTCCGTCCGGCTTCACTCATGCTAAATATACTGCTGTATTATAGTGCTTTCTGCTGGCGCTGATGCGTTCAATTAGATACACCCCAACGCCTTCGGGTACGCACCCGGTGTAGGCAACAAAACCGCAGTCCAGAACAAATGGGACGACCGATCGATCAAAAACAGAGGGTGTGAACTGCCTAACTAATTTGTTGCTGTTAATTATTCACGGCAGACGACGGAGCTTTCACTTGTTTACAGAGTAGTAGAGGAGTTTTTTTTTTCTGTTCTTTGGTGCAACATTCGAGGGGGGGAAGAATCATCCCCTCATACACAAATACGCCGTTGATAACGGGGAGTCAAACAGAACAACAACTTTTACTATTTTTATTCCCGCCGCCTGCTTGTGACGGCGGGTCGCTCAAGTATTTTACGCACGTCGTGTGAGAGGACTACTGCTGCTGTTGCCGGCAACACCTGCTACAGGAGTAGTATGTGCGAGGACCCTCCCTCAGAAACAGGGTGCGAGCACACAAGCCGGCTGCTATCATAACAGCACCCAATTGGCTCGGGCAAGCAGCAGCAGCAGCAGCAGCAGACAGCAGCAGGAACAACAACACCCCGGGGAAACTTTACATACGGTTGTGAAGTTGTAGCAGTTTTTTCGATGTGTCCGGTAGAGAGCAACATTCAAAAGCTTCTGTGCTGCTGGGCTCGGCGTGTGCGGGGACCATCCATCATCGCATTGCCTCCTCCAAGACGACAGAGGAGAGCACAGCCGATGTAAAAAACCTCAGCAATGGCATTGAGAACTGCTGTAGACACCAAATTCCTCCTCATGAGTAGCATGGTAGGATGATTCTCTCTGGCGGCGGGCATTCGTTATCCGGGGAATAGGACCGGCACATCCTACTCTAAAACTAAGTGAATTTTGGAGTACGGTTTTGTCAACAATGGTGACACCGGCGAGCGCCAAATAACGACTGCGTCTTGGAGGGCTTGGCCAACCGCTACTACTGCGGCGTTGCCGTCATGTTCAACACCCTGGGGCGTGACGCGGGCGGGATGGTATTCTCGTACCCCGGTGTGTGGTGATCTATTGCCTCAGGCCTCTTGGGATTGGGGATGGAGCAGCTGCAGCAGCAGCAGCCGGCGTGTGCGGCGGTCATGCACATGAGAGAGTTGATCCATCGGGCGTATTTTTCTTCGATGCTATGCAACCTTGCTGAAATCCCGGCACGCACACACGACACACGCAATCGCTTTCTTGTACTGTCGCCACAAGGAACGCACCCACCCGTCAGGGTGACCGTACCACCCACCAGAGGCGCCCTCCGCTCCGGGCTACACAGCTCGCCGGGGTGTTTCGCGAGAGGAATGGGAGGGTCACACAACAGCAGGAGAGACCAGACCAAATGGAGCACAACACGGGAACAACACGTCCGCTTTTTGTATGCATTTACCTGGCCTTGGTCTTGAAAAACACAACAAGTTTGTTGGCGGTCGAGTTGACGCCGGCCTGCCCTTGCCGCCGAACGCGAGCGCCGTTGTCGTCCCGCCATGGCATCTGTGTGCGTGTGTCCCCCCTCCTCGGCACCAACCAAGCGGTAGAGGCCGCGCTCCCTTCTAACAAACAGCACGGAGAGGCGGGGCTGAGGTGATGATGATGCAGCAATATGGCCTCTTTGTGTATATCTCTTCGATAAGGGCGAAAAGAGATCTACCAGATCTACGATCATCACAAACATAGATTTTTATTTTATTTTATTTTCTTTTTTTTCAATACACGCACCGAACGAACGATATTTCTACTTTTTCAGAGGGAGCAGAGAGTCGCAGTTGTATGCATCACAGTAGCAGCACCTGAGAGGCGGGCGCTTGTACTGGAGCTGAGGTATCTAGCGTCGGGGGCGGGAGCAGTCGCCAGCTTTTCAGACAATGAGAGCGCACCTGTCTCCGTGATAGCTTGGACAGGAAATATGGTTCTGAACCCGCTCCCCGCTGTACGCTGTACCCAAAAAATAATGTTCTCGTTATCGCATGACAATGTGTGGTAGTTGGTGAAGATTTTGCGGTAAAAAACTGCGGCCATGTGCACGATGATCGAGGTCAACGAAGGGGTGGGTAGAGGGCCTCAGGGAGATGAACCGTTACCCTTCTGTGTAACGATGGGTTGGAGTAAACGGCGCAGCAAGTGCTGTGAGAGCTGATTCGAAGTAAAGCCAAGAGAATATATTTACTGATGCGTAGCGGTCCCCATGTATTTTTGTATTGTAAGCAGCTCTGTCTGTAGGAACTGCTGTTGTTGTTGTAGGAGGAGGATGTATCATTAAAGTGCAACGAAAATACAGATGGATGGATGATTGTCGATGAACCAGAGACAGCCTTGCTTTTGTCTTCTGTTTCCCCATCTGCTGAGAGAATCCGAGTACAAGCCATATCACTCCATATTGCAACAACTCAATATTAGTCTCTCCAGCTCGTTTCTCGAGCAGACCAAAGGACCGCGGACCAACCAACTTGGATCAACGACCATGTAGATAAATTCTCCGGACCAGACAGATTTCCCAAGATACCAATACGACATAGCCCAACGGCCGAAGGTTGATGAATGGAATTGAGTCTAATGTACTGCTCAAACAACGTGGTACTAATACGAAGTCGGTACAAGCAATTTGGACGTCACTCGGTAGTACCCCATGCACGCACGTGAGTTTTGTTTTGTTTTTTGTTTGTTTTTCTTCACATTAAACTCGTGTCAGTTGCTAATCCCAAAATCTAGCAAAGACTCGGCCCGTGGTGAGTGCAGGTATCCGACTACAGCAGTAACAAAACGATCACCGCGCTCAATACGAGTCGATATCTACGAAGTCTATAATAGTCTACATGCTGTAGATATGTAAAACGTCAAACAAAGTGAAGCAGCAGCATTGGATCCCCTTCACACGAAGGGTAGAATGGAATTAAACTTATCCCCAACGCCTGACGAGGAGCGAGGATGGGGAATTGACTACACACATTTAGTCGCTCTTCGGCCTTCGGCCAGCTTCGGCTAGAAAACGACAAATTCAACCGTCACTCGCATCGCCCCTTTCGAGCGAAAAGCTCATAAGAAGCCGTACATCGTACTCCATAGTAGTAGCGCACAGGCAACAACAACCAACGCTACAAGAGCAAAAGTCTACGTGGTAGATAGTTCTTCCGCAGATGATCTGTAGGACAACGTAAATACTGAGACTGAGCCTTTCCCCCCAAATGTACAAAATATTTCAGAGGGGTACAACCTGAATCAACCAAGTGAGGCCCCCCCTTCACTTGATACTAGAGATGGCCGTCCTCTCAAAAACAAGTCGTGATCTCCCACCCCACGCGCGCGGAAGTTGTTGTTGTTGCTTTCTTCACGACAAACTCGTGTCAGTTGCTAATCCCAAATCTAGCAAAGACTCGGTCCGTGGTCACAAAAATGCTGCGGAGCCATCAGAAGACCTAAGGAACACGCACACATTTTTACAAGAAAAGGGTACACAAGCCGAAGAGGTACACCTACAATTCCGTGTACGAAATACTTCCAAGTATTGCTTAACAAGACACCATGGATAAAACCGCCTGTACTATTACCGTACGTGTAGGTGACACAAGATATCACGCCCCATGGATCGATTTTCAATAGAGTGGCACCGCCCAACAGCAGTAGCGGCGTTGAAGCCGGTCTCGTCATGAGCTTTCCGAGCACGCATCGTTTCACGTATGCATGCATCCTCTTCGTCGTGGAGAGATCGAGCTTTGAAAATCGGTCCAGGGTGTGTCATCTACGGGGTCCCCCGACAATACCACCTCCTAACCTGCCTGCATGCTGCCCAAGGCCGTAATCAGCCGCTATGCACTGCTATCCTGTCGATGCATCTGAAGCAGGGGCAGGAGCTTTCCTCGCGCAACAGAACGGCGACGACAAATCGTAGCATACATTTCGCCAGGACTGCCCGCCACCGCTCTAGGTGTACCATCTACCGCGCCCCGTCTTCCATGATGTAGGAGAAGACAGTCGAGTCAACGCCCCCCTGCTAAAGCTAACCTCCTGGCCTCCTTGTATTCTGCCTCACCCGATACTACCGCTGCGGCCACTATCTACAGCGCGCCGTGCTCCATGGTGTGTAGGAGAAGACAAATCGGGTCACGCGCCCGTTCGGCCTTTCGATAACCTCCCAGCCTGCTTGCAAGCTGCTCGGCCGTATCCAGCCGCTACTGCAATCTCAGTGTGCCGCTCACAGACGAGACCCTGGTTGGAAACGTCGAGGCTTTCAGACCCCACTGCCGACTCTTAAAAGACGAAGCTGACATCAACCAATTCGACTCTTTAGTCAGCCTAATGGTTTGATTTCGGCTTTTATAACGCTACAGCTAGAGTCAAGGGATCTGATAGTACCGGGGTGCCGCTACTGCAATCTCAGTGTATCGCTCATAGAAGAGGCCCTGGTTGGAAACGTCGGGGCTTTCGAACCACACGACTGACTCTTACAGACGAGGCCGACAACCAATTACGGCTTCTATAGCTCTACAGCTACAGCGCCGGTCCAATAGCGCCAGGGTGCCCGGTATAGTGCCGGTCTTTTCGGCTCGCACAGTCTGGAACACCAAGTCGTTCTGTACTTTGAATACTGCGGTTGCCCGGTGTAGATCTTACTCAAGAGGTCCCTCTACCGTATCTACAGAGCGCCGTCCTCCATGGTGTAGGAGAAGACGAGTCGGGTCACGCTACCCTTCGGGCCCGGAGCCTGACCCTTACCCCCGCCGCCCTCCGCCTCCGCCCTCTTCCTCCGCTTGAGCGGCCTCACGTAGCCCATCGACGCAAGCTGGTCGGAGGCGTGTTCGAAGCGCGCCAGCAGCTCGGCCCCGCCGGTTGGGTCGATAGCGCCCTCCTCGTCTGGGACACCGCCGCCGCCCTTGGAAGAGGTTTGCACCCCTCCCCCGCCAGCGCCGCCTGCTGAAATTCGGGCGTTACAGAGGTAAAACGTTTGATGCAAGAAATAGACGGCAGAACAGGAAGTGAGCTGAAAAGACGTGAAGAGGTTTGCACACACACACACAACGAGTAGCGAAAAACAAGGCGGATAATGGTGAAAGTACTCCTAAACGAACTAGAGTACAAGGAAATAGCATTGGTAGACGCGTCCAGTTTTCTTCTGTTGCTGCTGTTTCTGTCTTTGATCTGAAGGATAGTTTAGCCTCCCCCATGCCGCCCCCTCACGGGGTCCGTCCCAGTTCATGGCAGATAGAAGTGTTTTGTGTTTTCAACCGCACTAAGACTGACGTCTTTTCATTGGTCAGCCGGTGAGCGCGGTCGATGCTAATAATAAAAACACACACATACACACACATACACAAACATACACACACATACACACACATACACACATACACACACACACACACACACCCGGCGCTGCTTGCTGGGAAAAAAAGAAATTCGGGCGTTACAGAGATAGGTTGAGGCATGGAATAGACGGTACAGCAGGTGGCCCGATACAGTGGCATGTAGGGACAAGAGGAGAAAATGCCACCATTCAGGGCGGTGCAACTATTCGATGTATCGGGTTCATGTACATGTTGAGATTCTGACAAGATAGATTTTTTTATGCCACTATATCGGCAGTTCCACTGTTCAAGTTGCCACTATATTGGGCCACCTACTGTAGCATAGGAAGTGGGTTTGAGGCATGGGATGGCCAGGAGAAGACGGTCAGCACAGCAAGTAGGCAGAAAAGGAGGGAGGTGATATCGATAGGGCACGATTGGCCATCAGCGGTGATCCGTCCTGTGGGAACAATGATGAAAAAGTGTGTTCAATGGTCTTCATGTAGCGACTACGGCTT